GCCCATTGATCGATTATTATGATTTTATTTTTTTTATTTTTCTAAAGGAGATTTACAAGGCAGAGCTCACGGCCGTTTTTACAAAAAAAATAATAAACGAAAATTGAAATTCCGTTGCCAGGACTTGAACCCGGGTCTCTCGGGTGAGAGCCGAGTATCCTAACCAACTAGACTACAACGGAATTGCCCATTGATCGATTGTTATGATTTTATTTTTTTTATTTTTCTAAGGGAGATTTACAAGGCAGAGTTCACGGCCGTTTTTACAAAAAAATAATAAACGAAAATTGAAATTCCGTTGCCGGGACTTGAACCCAGGTCTCTCGGGTGAGAGCCGAGTATCCTAACCAACTAGACTACAACGGAATTGCCCATTGATCGATTGTTATGATTTTATTTTTTTTATTTTTCTAAGGGAGATTTACAAGGCAGAGCTCACGGCCGTTTTTACAAAAAAATAATAAACGAAAATTGAAATTCCGTTGCCGGGACTTGAACCCGGGTCTCTCGGGTGAGAGCCGAGTATCCTAACCAACTAGACTACAACAGAATTGCCCATTGATCGATTATTATGATTTTATTTTTTTTATTTTTCTAAGGGAGATTTACAAGGCAGAGCTCACGGCCGTTTTTACAAAAAAAATAATAAACGAAAATTGAAATTCCGTTGCCGGGACTTGAACCCGGGTCTCTCGGGTGAGAGCCGAGTATCCTAACCAACTAGACTACAACGGAATTGCCCATTGATCAATTGTTATGATTTTATTTTTTTTATTTTTCTAAGGGAGATTTACAAGGCAGAGCTCACGGCCGTTTTTACAAAAAAAATAATAAACGAAAATTGAAATTCCGTTGCCGGGACTTGAACCCGGGTCTCTCGGGTGAGAGCCGAGTATCCTAACCAACTAGACTACAACGGAATTGCCCATTGATCGATTGTTATGATTTTATTTTTTTTATTTTTCTAAGGGAGATTTACAAGGCAGAGCTCACGGCCGTTTTTACAAAAAAATAATAAACGAAAATTGAAATTCCGTTGCCGGGACTTGAACCCGGGTCTCTCGGGTGAGAGCCGAGTTTCCTAACCAACTAGACTACAACGGAATTGCCCATTGATCGATTGTTATGATTTTATTTTTTTTATTTTTCTAAGGGAGATTTACAAGGCAGAGCTCACGGCCGTTTTTACAAAAAAATAATAAACGAAAATTGAAATTCCGTTGCCGGGACTTGAACCCGGGTCTCTCGGGTGAGAGCCGAGTATCCTAACCAACTAGACTACAACGGAATTGCCCATTGATCGATTGTTATGATTTTATTTTTTTTATTTTTCTAAGGGAGATTTACAAGGCAGAGCTCACGGCCGAAATTGAAATTCCGTTGCCGGGACTTGAACCCGGGTCTCTCGGGTGAGAGCCGAGTATCCTAACCAACTAGACTACAACGGAATTGCCCATTGATCGATTGTTATGATTTTATTTTTTTTATTTTTCTAAGGGAGATTTACAAGGCAGAGCTCACGGCCGTTTTTACAAAAAAAATAATAAACGAAAATTGAAATTCCGTTGCCAGGACTTGAACCCGGGTCTCTCGGGTGAGAGCCGAGTATCCTAACCAACTAGACTACAACGGAATTGCCCATTGATCGATTGTTATGATTTTATTTTTTTTATTTTTCTAAGGGAGATTTACAAGGCAGAGCTCACGGCCGTTTTTACAAAAAAAATAATAAACGAAAATTGAAATTCCGTTGCCGGGACTTGAACCCGGGTCTCTCGGGTGAGAGCCGAGTATCCTAACCAACTAGACTACAACGGAATTGCCCATTGATCGATTGTTATGATTTTATTTTTTTTATTTTTCTAAGGGAGATTTACAAGGCAGAGCTCAAGGCCGTTTTTACAAAAAAAATAATAAACGAAAATTGAAATTCCGTTGCCGGGACTTGAACCCGGGTCTCTCGGGTGAGAGCCGAGTATCCTAACCAACTAGACTACAACGGAATTGCCCATTGATCGATTGTTATGATTTTATTTTTTTTATTTTTCTAAGGGAGATTTACAAGGCAGAGCTCACGGCCGTTTTTACAAAAAAAAATAATAAACGAAAATTGAAATTCCGTTGCCAGGACTTGAACCCAGGTCTCTCGGGTGAGAGCCGAGTATCCTAACCAACTAGACTACAACGGAATTGCCCATTGATCGATTGTTATGATTTTATTTTTTTTATTTTTCTAAGGGAGATTTACAAGGCAGAGCTCACGGCCGTTTTTACAAAAAAAATAATAAACGAAAATTGAAATTCCGTTGCCAGGACTTGAACCCAGGTCTCTCGGGTGAGAGCCGAGTATCCTAACCAACTAGACTACAACGGAATTGCCCATTGATCGATTGTTATGATTTTATTTTTTTTATTTTTCTAAGGGAGATTTACAAGGCAGAGCTCACGGCCGTTTTTACAAAAAAAATAATAAACGAAAATTGAAATTCCGTTGCCGGGACTTGAACCCGGGTCTCTCGGGTGAGAGCCGAGTATCCTAACCAACTAGACTACAACGGAATTGCCCATTGATCGATTGTTATGATTTTATTTTTTTTATTTTTCTAAGGGAGATTTATAAGGCAGAGCTCACGGCCGTTTTTACAAAAAAATAATAAACGAAAATTGAAATTCCATTGCCGGGACTTGAACCCGGGTCTCTCGGGTGAGAGCCGAGTATCCTAACCAACTAGACTACAACGGAATTGCCCATTGATTGATTGTTATGATTTTATTTTTTTTATTTTTCTAAGGGAGATTTACAAGGCAGAGCTCACGGCCGTTTTTACAAAAAAATAATAAACGAAAATTGAAATTCCGTTGCCGGGACTTGAACCCGGGTCTCTCGGGTGAGAGCCGAGTATCCTAACCAACTAGACTACAACGGAATTGCCCATTGATCGATTGTTATGATTTTATTTTTTTTATTTTTCTAAGGGAGATTTACAAGGCAGAGCTCACGACCGTTTTTACAAAAAATAGTAAACAAAAATTAAAATTCCGTTGCAGGGACTTGAACCCTTGTTTCTCAGGTGAGAGTTGAGTATCCTAACCAACTAGACTACAACGGAATTGCCCATTGATCGATTGTTATGATTTTATTTTTTTTATTTTTCAAGGAAGATTTCCAAGGAAGAGCTCACGGCTGTTTTTACAAGAAAAATAATAAACGAAAATTGAAATTCTGTTGACGGGACTTGAACCCGAGTCTCTCGGGTTGTTATGATTTTTTATGAGGCAGAGCTCACGGTTGTTTTTACAAAAAAAGATAATAAACGAAAACTGAAATTCAGTTGCCGGGACTTATTATGATTTTATTTTTTTTATTTTTCTAAGGAAGATTTACAAGGGAGAGCTCGCGGCTGTTTTTACAAAAAAAAAAAAAAAATAAACGAAAATTGAAATTTCGTTGCCAAGACTTGAACCCAGGTCTCTTGAGTGAGAGCCAAATATCTTAACCAACTAGACTACAACAGAATTGCCCATCGATTAATTGTTATGATTTTATTTTTTTTATTTTTCTATGTAAAAAAATAATAAAGGAAAATTGAAATTTCGTTGCCGGGACTTGGGTCTCTCGGGAGAGAGCCGAGTATCCTAACCGTTCTGTTGTTATGATTTTATTTTTTTAATTTTTCTAAGGAAGATTTATAAGGTAGAGCTCACGGCTGTTTTTACAAAAAAAAAAAAATAATAATAATAAACGAAAATAAAATTGAAATTCCATTGCCAAGACTTGATCCTGGGTCTCTCTGGTGAGAGTCGAGTATCCTAACCAATTAAACTACAACAAAATTGCCCATTGATTAATTGTTATGATTTTATTTTTTTTATTTTTCTAAAGTAGATTTACAAGGTATTGTCGATTGTCTTGAACCAGGGTGATAAACAAGTATCTAATGGGTTTTACACCAACAAAATTTCTTATTATATTATCTTTTTATTTTTGTAAAGTTTATTTATTTATTTTATTAAAAAAAAAAAAAGGAAAATCTAGTTTATTTATTTACTTTATTTAAAAAAAAACAAGGGAGAATCTACTCTATTTATTTATTTACTTCCTTCCTTTAGGAGAATCTTTTTGTCTTTTTTTTAATTATAAAAAAATAAAAATTTTAATCTATTTAATTGAATAAATGAGAGCAGTTTAATGCATTTCATTAAATTTATGAGGTGTTTTGTTGTTTACATATGTATGTCGAAATTAGTTTCACAGAAGGATGAAAACATGCATATTACAAATTCATACGTTTCAAGAAAATATTTAAGTTTTTAATGGTTACACTTTAAAATCAAATTTATTTAAAAGGAATATAAATTTTTAAAAACAATGTGATAAGACAATTCTAATGAATCTTAGAATTAATTATCTCATAAAATAAAAATTTGTACTTACTCTGACTACAACTCCGGGAATAATCATGTTAGGACTAGACGCATACATTCACAACTACTGAGAACATAGAGGAAGAGAAAAAAAAAATTAGCTTAAAGATATTTATTTACTTCATGAAATGGGGGAATGATGGAGTGAATAGTGTACAGAGATTTCTTATTTTAATTTATTTTTATAATTTTTTTTAGAAGAGTTATTATTATAAAAAAGAATTATTTATATTTGAATAGTTAGTAAACAATTTATAAGTAAATATTTTTTAAAAATAATAAATAATTAAATCAAATTGAGGCGAAGTCACTTCCAAAGAGACATTCAATCAATAAACATAATTTTATTTTTAAAAGTGTAGAAATAAATATTAAAATAATAAAATAAAAATAAAAATTTAATAAATCCCTTGAAAAGAAATCCATGGTTCACACAGTTTGTCCACGTCACACGATTTGTGCGTATTCGAAGGCAAGGTGAAACATGAAAATCCCACGTTGGAGATAGGAGTTTAGCCAACGCGCTTCAAAGCACGTTGACCCACACGGGGCACACCCCCTCCCCCACCCACGCTTATACCCTTGCACGCCTGATTCGTGCCACACCTCCACACGCGCGCGCGTGCGTGCGAAGATCCTCCTCCTCGCATGCTCGCACGTTTGAGAATCAATCTCTCTCTCTTTCTCGCCGGACCAGTGAATCGCCGTGGACTGTCGAACCCATGTTCCTTGACTCTTCTCCGGTCGGAACCTGCCTGATTCACGGCAAATCGATTCTGAAGTACCTTGCCTTTCGCTGGAAAGGTTTCGTCATTTCCGCCAGAAAATTTTCAGGTTTTATTTCAGATTTAGGTGTTCATACCGATTTTTTTTCTTTTTGGTTTTTACTGTTTAATTGTTCTTCCACAATTCGGAACTGAGATTTGAAATCTGTGAAGAAATAAGTTGGTTTCAGGCTTTGGAGACATGCGTGCCTTCTGCTGGTGCTGGTAGAGCTTGTGCGATGAAAATCAAACGTGACGTACTTAAGGTAAGGTACTGAAGCTTTCATTCTCGAGAAGTTTAAGTTACTTATGCGCTCGAATCAGACTCCCTTGTATACAATCTGTATTTTTCAGAAAACTTTTCATGGTGTTTATGGACGATAGAATAGATATCAAATTCTTTTCCGACTGTGTAGTCTTAAATCAAATGAATAGCAGAATATTTCTAGCGAACAAGGCATGATGTTTCAACGTTCCATGAAAATTGAACTAGTTTCTTGTTCTGTCTCGTTAATGCATTAAATATGTAGTATGTTGAATTTCAATGTTCTAACTTGACTGAAAGTTTGAGATCTTCAAACTCTAAAATTGTTTTGAGTTTTTATTGGATGTTTATATGTTAGAATTTCGACTTGTAATAGTTAATTTCTTGTTTGATTTTGTTGGCAGTGTACTTTTTCCTGCCAGCTTTGTAGAGAAGTCCAAGCGCATAGTGGCAGTGGTACCATATGGAACACGTTATCTGGACAATAATTGTTGCTAGATTGAGAAATAGTGGAATTCCAATAAATTATTTTGAGACAACGTGATTATGGCAACAAATATGCAAAAAATGATAGGCACGAGTGAGGAAGATGATGATGAAGATGTGGAGATGGATGTAAAAGAGGAGGATGGTGAAGAAGATGATGGGGAGAGGCGGATTCGTACTTAATTAATAGTTGGGGATGATGGAGGAATGGTGTCGAGTGGTAGCAACAACAACCAGTTTGAACAGCACCATGTGCAAGAACAATTAGGCACCCCTGGGGGTGGCCGTAGGTGTCGACTGCTGGAAGAGAAAGAGAGAACGAAACTGAGAGAGCGGCATCGAAGGGCAATCACTGCCAGGATCTTGGCAGGTCTTGGGCGGCATGGTAATTATAATCTTAGAGTTAGGGCAGATATCAATGATGTGATTGCAGCTCTGGCTACAGAAGCTGGTTGGGTAGTTCTTCCAGATGGAACCACATTTCCTTCAAGATCTCAGGTAGTTATTACTCGAGGTAGCCATTCCTCTATAAGTGAAAATTTCACTCATGAAATAAGCATCATCCAGCTTAATTGTGAAACTTGTGCATCAACATTCCTTGTATATTACCTCTAACAGATATCAGGAAATACCCAAATGGGAACATTTCTCTTCAACTTTTACAGGTCCCTAAACCTGCTAATGGAGATTCTGCTGCAGTAGCTTCATCTTCTTCCCATATGGCCTCTCGACAAACTCCACCAAGCTCCACTAGGGGAGTCGGTTGTGGCTCTAAGAGCTTGCCGGAATACAATGCATGTCGGATGAAAGGTGTTTTCATGCCTAATTCACCACCGTATAATGCTTCCCCAAATGCTAGATGTCAAAGTTCATCCCTGGTGGGAGATGCTGGAGAACAGTCAGCTAGTCATCCTCTCATCAGTAGTTCAGTTGATGTTGTAGATGGAATGCAGGTAGTCAAATTGGTTGTTTCCGTGTCCATATGCGGGTTTGTTCTTGTCGTTCTTGCTCGTGCTTTGACATTGATTAATCACATAGATATTTCTCATTCCTCACTATGAATGCACTGTGGTAGAGGCACGACTGTGGTGGATGATGCATAATAAACACCGGACTCATTTCACGCTTGATTTTAATTGCCTTATCTAAGGATTTCAAGTATAAAAAAACACGTAGCATATTATTCTACTTAAAGTATAGAAAGCGATGATTAGTACTTTGAACTCCTTATTTCAAGTGCTTTCTGTACCAATATATTGAAAATTAAATAATGTATTGTTCATTGTAGATTGTTGAAATGACACCAAAATTACCCGAACGTGACTTTGCTGGGAGTACTTACATTCCAGTTTATGTGATGCTACCGGTAGGTGCCCTTCAACGTTCTGTTCCCCATGAGTTACTCTACGATTCGGCCTTCTGTTGGAAAGCATCTTTTGATGTTGACAAAAATGGGGTCGTTGTTGGAGATTGCTGCTGCTATGCATTATATTTTGGAGTTGCTTATTTACATGTCCCTTTTTTTGGTGATAGTTGGGTGTCATTAATATGAAGTGTGAGCTAGTTGATCCAGATGGGTTGCTAAAGCAGCTAAGGGTGCTGAAATCAGTAAATGTCGATGGTGTCATGGTTGATTGTTGGTGGGGGTTAGTTGAAGCTCATTCTCCGCAGGAATATAATTGGAATGGCTACAGGAGACTTTTTCAGATGGTGCATGAATTAAGCTCAAATTACAGGTGAAGATATTGTCTCATATCACCTTGACTCTCTTGCTTTCATGTTCTCTCTTGTAGGATAACATGATAGTTATGTTTGTCTCCGAATGTCAAGGTCAGGTCATAGTTCATGTTAGGAATCACGACTCTCCATAATGATATAATATTATCCACTTTGAGAATAAGCTCTCATGAATTTGCTTTGGGCTTCCCTAAAAGACCTTATACCAATGGAGATGTATTCCTTACTTATAAACCCATGATCGTTCCCTAAATTAGCCAATGTGGGACTCCCTCCCAACAATCCTCAACCGCTCATTCTCATATCTTTCTTAATCTTCTCTTTATAATAATCTTTTAGGGGGAAAAAAGAAAGAAACTTTCAAATACTTGGTTACTTGCTCTGCAGAACAATTTAAAATTTCAATTTTTCAAGTCTATGATAAAATTTTATAATTCACAATACATTACAATACGCAGTACATAACTTTTAAAAACTGATTTACAAACTTTTTTGGAGTCGTCTCTAGTTATGTAGCCTTAAACCAGAGAGTGCATCTTTTGCTCTTGCATGATACTTAGCATGTAGGATGTAAGCTATTGGAGGTTGGGACATTATTTAAATAAAAACTTCCACCCACATTGAATCACCTCGGTGGACACCTGCAATTGGTAATAGTACTTGTCAGTTTCTTCCTTGGCATAGTTTGACGGCTTCATGATATTGAAAAATGTTGAAAATCTTTATGATAGCTATTCCCTCACAAAAAATGAATTGGGTAAGCCATCATGTCTGACTTATGAATTGGAAGGCAATTGGCAGTTGTAACTCATATACTTAAGTTGTTCTTGTGAAGTTGACTTCGTTTACAATAGAAGGTTGCTTTCTGGTATGGAATGTCTTCACTAGGAAAATATCTTGGCTGAATTTGTAAGTTATCTTCTCCACATAAATAGACATTTTGCTACAAATATGGGAAGTCTTTCAAACTCTCATATTTATTTCCCGTTGTATAGATTTTTTGAATAATTTAGTTTCACATCGACTAAGTAGATATCTTTGAACATAAAGAAATTATAAATTTCTTGGTCTTGCTTAACATCCAAGAAATGTATTGATATCTACTAACTTGGTGAACTTTTGTTTCAGCCAATTTTTAGGAGGTTGGTTAAAATTCCTACTGAATTTTTGTTAGAATTCCTGCTTGCTTTCATCTTAGACTTAAAATCTACCTGCATTATTAGACATCAACATCTTTTCAATCATCAGCATCTTATATGTAGTTTTTTGAATTATATTCTAAAAGCTTTTGTTAATTGAAATTTTTTGTCTGGGTTATACAATTCAGGTTGTGCTATCATTTCATGAATGTGGAGACAATGTTGGTGATGATGTTTGTATTCCGCTACCTCATTGGGTAGCTGAAATTGGTCGGAGTAATCCTGACATATTCTTTACTGATAGGGAGGGAAGACGCAATCCTGAATGTCTCTCATGGGGAGTCGATAAGGAGCGAGTGTTAAAAGGCCGTACAGGTCTTGAGGTAACTTTAATAAAAGATTATTATGAGGTCATGTTTGATTGTAAAGATATGAATTGAACATGAGAATACTTGAAACCAAACAACTAAGTCCGGCTTGATCCATTACCTCCCTAGCATGCTTATTTTATCATTGGTGTCTGTTGAGCCAGTGCCATGTGTCTGTGTTCTTATTGAAACAAAAGCCTCTATTGCCAAACATCAAATCCGTTACGAATTTTCCTCGTTACATGGATCGGCGAATTTCATAATGTTAACTGTTTTTTTTTCATTGGTGAATACATTATTTTGACTACATGAGAAGCTTTCGTGTTGAATTTAATGATTTCTTCGAAGATGGTGTCATCACGACAATTGAAGTCGGTTTGGGACCATGTGGAGAGCTTAGATTTCCATCCTGTCCTGTTAAGCATGGCTGGAGATATCCCGGCATTGGTGAATTCCAGGTAGTATGCTGCACTATGTAATCTTATAAGATTTTCTTGCAATCAGAACTTCAAATTTGCAATTTTGTGGATTCTTATTCTTTCTTAAATGTTAAACTTACAGTTTGGAACGATTTTTATTTTGAATTGGAAAGCTTTCTTGTAATCCACCTTCCATTATTACATTCATCAATGAAATTTGTTTCTGTTCCAAAGAAAGAAGAAAAAAACAGATTGCGTTTTTTACTCAGGGAATTGAGAATGATCCCCCTAATCATTTTTGATGTAACAAGTCGTGTCTTTCCCCTCGAACCTACTCTACGTTTTGTTGCTACTAACATCTCTGCAGCCTAAACCTTTTGTTAACAAGTCTGATTTTAAAAGTTTCTTCATTTCAGTGTTATGATCAGTATTTGTTGAAATATTTGAGGAAAGCAGCAGAAGCAAGGGGACACTCCTTCTGGGCCAGAGGGCCAGATAATGCTGGTTCCTATAGCTCTCGGCCACATGAAACAGGTTTCTTTTGTGATGGTGATGATTATGATGGCTACTACGGTCGATTCTTCCTTAATTGGTACTCCCAAGTTTTAGTAGATCACGGTGATCTAGTACTTTATCTGGCAAAGTTAGCCTTTGAAGGAACCCACATTGTTGCCAAGGTAGGTGAGCTTTGTAGGCAATAAGGTTTCTTTGAAGTATTATTGTTACATTCTATTGTAGACTTCTGTTTAAAAGTTGAAACCGGTCGAAATTTCGAGTTTTCTGTTGCTAGCTTAATACACCTACTGTATTTTAATTGCTGAGCAGCTCTCAGGTATTCACTGGTGGTACAAGACAGCAAGTCATGCGGCTGAATTGACTGCTGGGTTCTATAACCCTTGCAATCGTGATGGCTATGCTGCAATTATGGCAATGCTGAAGAAACATTCTGCTTCTTTGAACTTCACTTCTGCTGGATTTCACATGTTAGATCAGCAAGAAAACATTGCAAATACGTTGTCTGATCCCGAGGCAGTAGTCTGGCAAGTAAGAACATAATATTTGACTCAAATTTTCTAATACCGCTCGTATACCTTATTTTCTACCTATATATTACCAGGAGAAACCATACTTCAAATCTTGTTTGACACTTCCTCACTCCCTATGTTTTCTCTGCTTATGCAAAATCGCTCTCCAACAATCCAGGTGACGTATGCTGCACGGGACGTTGGTGTAGAAGTTGTAAGTGAGAACGCTCTTCCTTTCCTCGACAGAGTAGGTTATAACAAGATATTGGATAATGCCAAACCCCTGGACGATCCAGATGGGAGATATTTGTCATCCTTTATCTATAACTGGCTCAGTCCACTTCTCTTGGATAGACATAACCTTGTGGAGTTTGAACGATTTGTCAAGAAAATGCACGGTAAAGCTCTCGTCCGCTTCTTCTCGTTGCGAAATCCTATTCTAACATGTTGATATAGACTTGATAAGAGAGAACATATAAATTGGAACTGTTGCTTGCCAAATGCAGGAGAATCTGTTCATGATCTCAAGGTTTAGCCAGCAAGAAGATTTACAATTAATCTCTCCACAAATATTGGAAGTTGTCAACACATTGCAGATCAGGGTAATCGATGTTATTTGTTGCAATGATTAAACAGCACTTGTAAATGGTGTTTTATGCATTACTAATGATAAATCACCCTTTTACAATGGATGCAAGAGGCCATTTTCTTGGACATGTCAAGAATATTCTCAACATCTTATTCACTATTATAAAATAATAAATGATAACAATCCATTTAACCACAACATCATTTCTAGACTAAGGCTTTTGCTTAGCAAATGAAGTAAAGCAAATCAAAGCCAAGAAAAAAGGGGAAAAAGGAAAAGAAAAAGGAAAAAAATACTCTATCAGTGCTATTCAAGGAACAAATGAGGCATCTACTAAATCTCTGTTTCTTTTTACAGTAAAAAAAATGAAACTTCGCAGCTTCTACTTCCTCCTAAGAATTCATAATTCAGAAGGGCTTAAGATTTCTTGAACACCATTTTACCAGACTGATCCACATCGAAAAACTGATTTATGAATTTATCCCATCGATCCCTTCGTTTCGTCGATGATGCTACCAATGCATCTTCGATTGATTGGCTAGAATTCTCACCTTCTTCCAATTCATTGAACGTTCCGTAGGAGGGTGGTAAGTTTACATCAGGGATTTCCAATGCAGCAGCTCGCTCGAGAGCTGCCTGGTATTCTTCGCCATGTCCTCGTTCTACCGAAGCCTGCCGTTGCATCCTCTGCTGCACTGGGATTTCCAAGGCTTTATCATTCTCCAACATGATCTGGGGAAAGGAAAAGACTTAACTTTTTTCAACCCATTTGAGCTGATGCAAATTCTATTAACCTACCAAAACTTAAATGAATCATCAAAAATACTTTTGCGGTAAAAGGATGGACAAGCTGTCCAACATGTCGCTCGTTAATGTGATGTCAAATAGCCACATGCAGACGCTCGGCCATGTCGTTTACTTTGGCACTAAGGACTCGAATAGATTAACTGATACGTAAGTGAATTTCCTGATCACAAACATATCATAAAAATGTGGTTGGGAAATTCCAGCGATTCCCCATCTAAACTAGAAAATATAATCTTCTTTTATTAACTTATTGAAAGAGATGGGCAATCTCAGGGAAGTTTACTGCTGAAGCAAGAGGCAAAAGATGACTTACATCAAGAGCCTTCTGAGACTCTCTCTCGATCCATATGATAGCATGGTCTGAAGTAGCATTGCAGGAAAGGACTAAATGCTCAAACCTCTTATCTACAGGCACTGCTGTCTTCACAACCGGAGGAAATCTTCCTATCCTGAAAATGGACAATGATATTTTAAAAGAAATCTAACAAGATCAGCCAAAAGAAAGAAAAGAAATAAACTCTAAGCTTTCAGTGAGAGAAGGATGCACAAGGACCTACAAAAAAATGAATCCACCAACAAAAAACAAGCCTCAAAGCTAAATAGAAGAACGGACCCCAATCCAAAAGAATGAGACCAAACTGGCAGTTACGAAAAAGTTCGATTAGGATGCCCACAAGACCTCTCGGACTTTCTAAAGATTTTACTATTCCTCTAAAGCAAAATGCCCCACAAAATAGCGGAAAAAAAAACAAGTCTGCCATGGGACTCTTCCCCTTTGTCATGAGAAGGAGGGTTCAAGAGGACCTCCTCAATCATGGAGCAACACCCACTGTTATAGTACAAAAGGGAAACGTAGAGTACAGTACAAAGGATAGCAGACTTGAGGAAAGTTTGAACACACAAGGTCTTCGGTAAGCGTCTATCGACCTTTTTCCCTTCTTTTTATTACGTCACATAACATTGTTACCACAACAGAAATACGAAAGGCGAGTCCTGCTAATTCTAACTACCCTGGCTCTTCAAAACTTGAACCATTACATTAACTCTCCTTCAGATCCCTACTAGCGTTCATAAAACAAACTGGAAATCCACCCAATCAGATTCTTTGGTTTTTTAGCTTTTCATCTCTAAACAATTTTTAAAAAAGAAGTTGAATAACATTCTGAATACGATTATTAAGAAAGCGTTAATGAGCACCCAATGCATTCAATAACCTTCATCAACAGTTGGAACTAAAAGAGCAAAGAATAAACGACTTCGATCCTCATCAAAAACCTACTGTGTTAATTTTCCCACCAAATCCCCTCTACTGAAACTAAGAGTTCCCTAGTAAAAAAATGCATCATCATGTCACCGAGTGAGGAACCATTTCTAATTGAACTAACTTTGAACTACCTTAACTTAAATAAAGCCTTTCTTACCTAAAGGGTTTTCGCTCAACAATGTGATAAAGACGACCAGGTGCATAAAGGCGTCTTGGATCTTTAAGCATCTTCCCCTCCATTGTGCATGTATCCTTCAAGCACATCACGCATAATAAACATGGTAGGCTGTTCAGACAAGGATAATCAATCATTACGATGTAAAAGATCTAGCATATAACAAAAGTGCTTAATTCACTAACAAGAAAGAAGTCTTCAGGAAGTCCAATTTTATTATCAAGTTTTTTTTTTTTTTCTTTTTTCTGACAATTTGTACCATTCATGCTTGTTGAAACATAGATGTAAAATTTGTCCATGAATTTTTAAAAGAATTTAGAAAGAGGTGCTAACAAGATTGTAATTGTACCAGACAAGATATTTGAATACATCTTCCAAAGCTGTGGTAGTCCGAGGTAAGAAATCATCCTGGTACATCACAATCAAGCACATTGACTATAATCATTTAATGCCAAGAGTAAAGCATAAATAGAGATTTAATGCTTCCAAGAGATTAAACGTGTGTTCGAAAAAATAGTCAACAAAACCACACAATCATCTTATGTCTGCATACTGCAGAAGTAAGATGCAACATACAAAGCTCATCATCAAGCATATGAAAGTGATTCTTCTTTTGGGACGTCATTTCATTGCAAACGACGCATCTTCAACCCATAGTCCAGAAATTTCAAGCATTGAGCTTTGCTTCTCTGAAAATATTATAGAAGGTAGCTACCCTCCCATATGTTGTTTTTAATATTAAAGATATGATATGAATTATGTTGCTTCATATCCCCTCTTATAATTTCATACTATAAAAAAAAAAAATGTTTCTTATGGAAAAATAAGATTGTGTTTAAAAGTTCAGTAAGCATTTCCAATATTGACGCATTTCAATTATTTTATATCAACCATACAGTACATTTTCACTGATGAAAAGCTTTGAATATGATGCGTTACACAGTACAGAGTTCTGTTTAACGTATCTAAGTGGCCTTCACTGAATTCAACCACAAAACCCGTTGTTCTTTTTTACCATGAACCTATCTAGTTTAAATTCTATACGAAGCTCAAAAAAAAAAAAAAAAAAAAAAAA